CATTTCATTTCATATCATTTTTGCATCGAATGTGTTGTTCATCGCTTTACAAACCATGATAGGGTGAAAAGAAGACCAAGCAGCTCTTTATTCAGTGTTCTTAGTTCTTAATTCATAGTCCTTAATTCTTTTTTCTTCATTAGTTGTCGTATTTCGAAATTCGTACGTACAGTAAAATTAACATTTGTATCTTAAAATCAATATTTGTTTTACAAATAAGACATTTGTCATATCAGATTTGTAAAATGTATTTTTGTTTAACTTAATTTTTTTTTAATATAAAGATATTTCTTTTTTTTTTAGAAAATCAAACAATTAACCTACATTTACATTTCATCAGAGAAATACAACGAAAAACAAATCTCGAACAACAAATTTCCAAATACAAATCTCCAAATACAAATCTTGCAAAACATTTCTCCAAATACATTTCTCCAAAAACCTTTCTCGAAATTCATCGAACCGGAACATTGTGACGACATGAGTGAAAAACAATCTGGCATACAATAAGTCACTATACAATAATGGAGAATCAAGTATAAGGATATGTACAATAAAAAAACTCGCTCGATAACCAGGATGTGTCTGATAGCGACATATTTCTTTGTTCAGCTAGGTTCAATTTTATTTCAATAATTCGCTTGCGCGTAGGGGTCTATAGCAGCGGGAGGAAACCGGAGGACCCGGAGAAAACCTACGGGGTTGGAAAGGCGACCCTACTCCTTGTCACATTAAACCGGGTAATCGAAACCACGCCAGTTGTCTCAATGACAGACCTTATGATACAGCGCGCACGTGCTAACCCTAACCCTGGGAGAATTTTCCCCGATACCTATCATATCCGGCAGGGTCCCGTAACACCTGAATCTATTTTGTACCACCGCCGCCCCCGGGCTTCGCTTGTGGGGAAATTGTGTTATACCCCAGGCTTTATGTTCCATATGGCCTTTGGTCCCATAATTTGGCCTTATCCCGCGAAATCTAAATTAATATCTCTACAAAAGTATTTCAAGTTATATGTTATCGGTGTCTGTGATCCGCCCCAAAACACCGAATGGCGAACCCCAAAAGTAACAATAGTAATTAAGACTTGATCATATATTTGAATCTCGATCACCAAGTCGTATCATTCCTACTTTTTGGCGTTAGCCCTTCGCCGTTTTGGGGAGAATCGCAGACACCGCATTATTTATAGTGCTTTAATTCTGGTTTATTTGGACAAAACAAGATTATGAGGGGACTTTCGCCTAAACATAATCTGTGTATTTACATAGACTATATTTAGCTTCCAGTCATCACCACGTGGAGGCTCCCCTCATGGATGACCATCCCACCCCTCCCACTCAAATCCCAACCCTTTCCACACTTTTTTTTAAAAAAAACCCCAAACATTTCATGTATTTCTTGCATGGTTTTATAATATTCTTTATTTAACTTTTGTTTATTTTCCTTCTTTTTTTGTAGTTTTCACCTTTTTTTTCTTTGATAGTATGATAATATTTTTCTTACGGACCCAAACCCGGACCCGATCAATCAGTTGTTTGAGGCTATATTTTTCTAGAAGTCCCCTGACCTCTGCAGTATCATCGTCCTCTATCAGTGACTTAATGGTGGCCTATTTGGACTAACTGTTTAAAATAGGGCTTGCAATTTTGAAAAGGGTCATTACACCCTCTTCTGAGAAACTCCTCCTTGGGTGCTTAAACGGAACGGGTTCTGCTGCTACTTCTTCACCAGAAGACACAAATTCTAAGTGGTTTTTTTTATATCTTACTTGTAGCAGCATGCTTTTGTTTTCTTGCAGTTTCGGCTGGGTCATCAGATTCTTGCTCGGATTCTTTTTCTGAACTTAAGGGGCAACTAATTGCAGCACCCCTCTTGCATGCAAGAGGTAGGCTGTAATATCTTTTTGGGGTTTGTTCACAGTGGCTCATCGAGTGGGCTAGCTCACCAAAAAGCTCGGGTGCTCTCTCTAAAAGGGTGCAGACAAGGCTTTTTCTTACGAGTCTACTACTGACTTTTCACAACAACTGACTCGAATCGGGAATTTATGATACTATATATCATACTGGGATTTAGATGTGGGTCTTCTTGAGACGACGTATAGTTAGAAAATATTCGGGCGTCATCAACGTCGCCCGTGTTTGCACTTAGTGGACGCACGTAATCAACGAAAGTCTCAACTTCCGTGTAAAGGTCCTGAGTCAGGGGGGAGTTAGCATGGCCGGCATAAAAGGTTTTATGGTTGACCATGCTAACAACCCTGATTCCATCTGACTGGACATTGGCCGACAGAAACTCCCTCATTGGCCACTGTCCAGGAGTAGTCTTATAAGCAAATATGCTAAAATATCCCTATTACTGTCTTAATACTGTCTCCCCGACCCTCATCGAAGCCAACAGCTTCTGAACTCTCAGGTAAACTGGGGCATTTTCAATTTTAGCAATGTCATCTGGTGTAAGAAGGACATCACGTTCGTCTGCCATAATCTGCATCTGTCTATGTGTGACGGAGGGGCGCATTGCGGCATTCCAGCGCCTTATTTGATTTGCCCAAAGTTCGCCGGTGTGGTACACTACATTCGTGGTTTCACGGAGAAACTCTATGAATAAACGCTAGGAACATATATAAGATTTAATTGTTCCTGGTTTCATAACCGAACTGCTCTTAGAGCTCTCAGCGGTGGTCTCCCTAAGTGGCATAAGCCACAATCTGTCCACTACTCTTGGATTTTCAAAATGGTTAACACCCCAATCGCCGTTCCCAGAAATGGCTGCCCAGATGCTAAACACTTGTTTCACGTGCTGGCGGGACGCTTCCGCCGTCCTCCGGGCGCCATCAGCAAATCGGACATGACGTTCAAGATCAATAAGTAGTCTTTGTTCCTCCCGTGGGGCATCATCGGGATAGATAAAATGTGACAAGTCTGCTGGAGTAGAGGGCTCTCAACTGTTTACACGGCCGTCTTTCTGCATTTTTCTTTTTTTTACTGGTGTTGTAAAAAATGAGCTGGTGAAGTCTTCACGCTTTGTGGAACATTCTTCCCCTTTGATGGTGGTGTGCTTGACTGGCGCTCCCGCCCCCTACCGCGGATTTCAGCATATGCCCCACTTGACATTGACGGTGTTTGGGACACAGTGGGACGAGTTCGGGTTTGTGTCATTAATGTAGGTGCATGCACACTAGTAGTAATCCCCATATCTGGATGGGCGTCGGCCCATGCCCGCGGGTTGATAGGTATATGTGAAGATGCAATTGGGCTAGTCTGAGCGTCGGCCCATGTCTGCGGGTTTGATGAGGTAGCTTCTCCTCCAAGACTGTCGCTACTAGAGCTGGCCTGGTCTGTATCCGGCCTGAATCCGGTAGGGTAACAGACTCCATCTAGCGTCCAGTACCAAACTAGTTTCCTCGGTTTATCTCGTGGACTCTGTCCTGGTGGAATTGCCATTCCAACAGGGATTGCCTCAAATATTTCTCCTGTCCCTTCAGTTTCGAGAGTATCTTTTTCTGTATCTGTGTCTGGCCCAGTCGATTCTTCCTCTTTTGTAGTAACGTCAACAGATGAAGACGAGCGTTCGCCGTCAGATGATGAGCTGTCACTGCTGCTCTCTTTCAAGGCTTGTCTGCTGCTTGTCTGTTGTGCTTCATTAAAATGTCAAATCTTTCAGAATGCCTTTTGCTTTTATGAAAACGCATCAAATGCCTATCTAATCGGATGATACTTGCATGGCATTCTGGGATTGGGCAAGGCGTAGTGGCATTTCCCGCAACCCTCCTTCGGTGTTTATTAGACAACGATCGTGGCGGTTCGTCTGTAAAACCGTGTACCCGCAAATGGCGAGCACACTGTGGGCATTTCTTTGCCTTCTTGGGAGGCATTACACAAATTAAGTTAACAATTCAAATTAAGGTGAAATGGTAAAGTAGATAAAACGCAAGAAACCTTACAAGTTAAAAAGAAACCTACGTGCAAATTACCAGTATATTTTTAAAAAAAAAAAGGAAACCTACAAGCTTATTATGACGAATACAAACGATAAAAAACAAAAGGTTTTTAAATGCAGCTAAATGCTGTTAAGCGAGAAAACCAGTAAAATCGGAAACCTACAGAAATACAAAACTTGTGAAATACAAATAAAAAGGATACTAAAATACTGCCATATGCGTCAATAGTTAATAGAGTGTGATGACACAGACGAACAATCGGATGTCTAGTGTTAAAAATCACTTGGGTATATCAACTTTTTACCGAAAAAAAGCGACGAGTGGGGGACATAAGGCCAAAAGCAAACCCTGAGAGGGAATAAAGGCTAAAAAAACATCGAATTGCTCTGTGTTTTGGAAACGGGAGAAAATCTTTACCGGCTCACTGCTTTCGTTCTATCCGAAGGGTTGGGATGTAATTTTGGTCACTTAAGTTTCACAATATTCATTTTTACATGACATGTTTTGTGGACGTATTGTGTCACCGGTTTTTGATAGCTAAATAATATTTACTTGTATTTAGTTTTAACTATAGTTTAAGGAACGTTGTTGACGTCTACAATTGTTATTGTTCATAGTGTTTAACGTCCGCTTCCACCAAGGGTGATATCGCAGACAAGTTGTTATTTTTATTATCTTAGCGCATGCGCGGGGGTCTTTCATGTGGGCGAAAACAGGAGTTACCGGAGTAAACCCACGAGGTTGAGAAGGCGCTCCAATCTCCAAGCCACATACGCTTACACCTGGGATAGAAACCACGATCTCAAGTCAAGGGTGACCGGCTAGCTAGAGTTCGACGCGCGACACTCTAGTACTGGATGGAAATGACAATAACAAGAGTAGCTTCCCTTTATATTTACTTCCGTGAAGATCGTCAACATACGCTCACACCAGGGATCGAAAACACGGCCTCAAGCCAGAGGTAACCCGCCAGCTAAAGCTCGAAGTGCGACATTTTCTTTTTTTATTGTAGATATATTTATTCACTAAATATAAAAAAACACATAATTCATTTTCATTCTATGAGAATAATCAACCAGGATGGTTACGTTTTTAAAGTTGTATATATAATGCCTAATTTGCCCCCACCCCACCCTGTTAATATTCTAATAATATTTCAAAAAATCTTAATATATGTTTTTTTACACTTTTTACTTCGACACTGTATAAGGGGATTTTAACCCCTTTAATTCATTATGTTTTTGTTAGAGACTACAAATGCTATAAATGTTAATGAACGGTTAAGTTTATGACCTAGACAATCTGGTTAAAACACAGATTCTCTTTCGTTTCGTTTTTATAGTTCAAAATTTCGTTTTACTTGTCTTTACTACACATGGATCCGGAAGATTTGTTATTTAACTCGTGTTCTGCTTGAAATGAGGGGTCAGCCAATCAAATGGTCTGTCGAATCGAGTGTTTGACCTTTTTTGCCCGGAACAGTGATTAATCCACTAGTAACATCAATGCTGATTGGTTAATTAAATGTCTGACGTCATAGGTCAAAAGTCGGTCTTTTGACCCCTGACGTGACCTATCGCTATAACTTGTCAGATCTCCATGTAGTGTAGGCCATCGAAATTATAAAAACGGAACGAAATATAGATCTGTATTATAATCAGATTGTGACCTAGATTACTTAATTGATCTATGGACATCTATTTCATCTCATGGGCTATACTTTATACCGGAAAACAACCAGAAAACTACCGGAAAACACCATGTTATTCTGAATACCGGAAAACTCCGGAAAAACACTAAATGCCAGAAAAGACATTAAATACCTTAACCTCTCCCCAAATTCTTAAACCTAACCCTAACCCACCGCTGGTCCTCTGGAAAACACCGGAAAGACCTAACCCTAACTCCCCGCAAACAGAGGATCAGGTTCCGTGTTACCTATTTAGGGCGTTTTCAGGTATTCGGTGTTTTCCGGTATTCAGTATCATGGTGTTTTCTGGTAGTTTTCCGGTGTATAGTATTGCCGCATTTCGTTACTCCTGTATTGTCAGATTATACCAGGACGACTATGTAAAATAATGAAAGGTTACGTTTTATAGCCAAATTACAGAATTGACATAATTGACATAATATATATACACGCACCTGTATATACATGTAAATATACGTATCTTTCAATAAAGAAATATTTTTCGGTTGATATATCATTAAAAGATATCTATTTGGGTTGGTTGTGACAACAACAAAATCAAAGATACATAAAGGGTTAGTGAGAGTGAGACCATTAACGGTTGGAATTAATTAACGTGGCAGAGATAACTATCAGAAAAAATACAGGAGATGTGAGGTGAGGATACGTCAGATGATCAGACTGATAATTGGTATTAACAAATTAACATAATAACAAACAAACGAGCAATCTGATTAACACACAGATCATATTTCGTTTCGTTTTTTACAGTTTAAAATTTCATTTTAATTATCTTTGTTACCATAGGACCTGGAAGAGTTCTTATATTGCCGGCGTTTTGACTGAAGTGAGGGATTAACCAATGGAACTGTGGGTAAACCACCAGAAACGTGAACGCTGATTGATTAATCGATGTCTGACGTCACAGGATCAAACGTCGCTCGTACGACCTCAGACACGACCTTTCAGTACAACTTATCAGATCTTCATGTAGTGTAGGCCATTGAAAGTATAAACAAAACGAAACGAAATATAGATCAGTATTTTAATCTGATTGACAAACGAGAAACCATACATGATACTAAACAACGAGATGCAAGATGAGCGCACATCAAATAATTAGTAATTCCAGATATACTAACGTGGACAGTATAATTAGTAATTCCAGATATACTAACGTGGACAGTATAATTAGTAATTCCAGATATACTATTACTAACGTAGACAGTATAATTAGATGATAACGGAGTGACGTAATTATGAATAACATTACAAGTATCCGGAAGGATACAACAGGCTCATAAATAAACACACTCTCTTAAATTGGGTTGCAATGCCCTTTTCCAAGTAACTTGGATTAGAAGTTAATTAATGATTAAAACAATATAGTCCTACACACATTCACCATAATTAGCACACCAGTTTGTACACACGTTAACAGCTGTACCCATTCCATGTCTATTTGAATTTGGACACTTGGGTTTTACAAATTTAATTACTCCTATTTCTACAAATAAAATACACTCAATTTAAAAATCAAACTGAAACTTATGCACACGGGACGTGCCTTGGCATGTAGATATCAGTTTAGAATTAGTTCGTCGTGGGCCAATGGGAGGAATAGTTCTCTGCCACGGTTAAGGTCAGGTTTAGATATCCTAGTGTGTATAGATTCAATACTTTTTCGGCTCTCTTCATTATTTTGGTCGAGCACAGTTTATATGGGAATACAATCACTGGTTTATAGGCATACCACGACGTTTCGACAAGTATTCTCTTATCGTTATCGTTGTGCTTGATGACGATAAGAGAATACTTGTTACAGGATGACGATAAGAGAATACTTGTTACAGGCTTCAACAATAAAGACTAAAATAAACAAGCCAACAGTGAGGCTGATGCCCCCCGCCGAAATATCAAAATAAATAGATGACATATATTAATTAATCGCACATTTATTTTTTTCAAAAGTATCAAGCAATCAAACCGATTATCAACTATACACCAAGTTTTACAACTCTCTCTCGAATTATGTCGAATTCCAGCTGCCAATGAACCTACACATTAGAAGATACCCTATCGGTATTGTATATGTATTGTCTATCAGGAGGTAGGCCACAACGAGATAGCCAACTAGATAGCCATCGCTTCCTGTAAACTAATTCGGAGGTTAACTACTAGTATGTGTCCTTTGCATGTGAGATATCTCTGTCTATACATCATGTCTGGACAGCCTTGCCGAGATCATATCCTATACGATACCTTATTACTTGTATCGGTGAACCCTTTATAAAGACTACCTTGGACGCAACTCCTCAAAGACACCAGGATTATCTTAATCGCACACCCGTCTCCTACCTACACAAGACGGGTCGCTCCTCTTGCAGGTTCCCAAGGAACGAACTAACGAAATATCTCTGGTATTTATAAATAATAACCTGTTATTCGATGGAAAGAAAATGCATCAGGTTTAACTGGATCTGTACCAATAAAGCCACTCCCTATTGCATCTTGTAAACATCGGTGTAGTCATCGTCATCAGGCGTACCCAAAGATATCAGATGAAATGTTGCCTCAACACAACCCTTCCTGTACAGAAATGAAATGAATTGAAATGGGGTTTTAACGTCCTACTGCCTTCCTGTACAAATACACATATTATAATAAACATTGCGGGTCTTTCTCTAAGTTAATAATTTGACATTAATCAACTTATCCAGAACATAATCAACGCTAGATGTCATCGCTAGCCTGGATTGGAACCCGATCTGCTGCACAACGCTCATTGATGATTAAATCAAAAAAATGGATAATCGAAACTTAGTAATGATAATCGACGCTATGCCCAAAATTCAATCACTAAATTCTCAGTTCAGAGTGGACCAATTTGACTGAAATCCCCTTTACATTATCTAGTTTTGTAACTATTATAGTGAGAACTGTCAGCTCTTTATCTAGGGTCTTAGACGAATGAATTTTGTGGCCTGGATTAGACTGGATATATTGAACAACTGTTGATCCTGTGTGGAGGACTTTCACTGATGTTGGGCGAGTCTTTTGAGTAGGGGCCGTAGTGTTTCACCAATATATGTGCTGTAACATGAACAAAAAACTTGATAGACGCATTGGTTAGGTGGCAGTGGATTGGTTGGTTGGAGTTTACCCTTCGCTTTCAGATGGTTTTTGAGGCTGCGTCCCCTGGAGAATATATGACTTGTAGCCTTCTGGTATGTTTCGATAAATCTTCTTGAAACGGGATAGTTATTAGTATTTTTGGTTTAGAATCAATAAGACGTGTGATAAACGCAGCTCGTGCAGAGATTGTATAAACTGATTATATAAACTGGGATCAGGATCATCCGTTACCATATTTAGTAAATCCGATGTAGCCTTCATGGTATCACCCCTCTTAATGTGAGAGATTAGCGTCTTTCTTTGAAAATTATGTAATACATTTCTATCTGACAATAATTCTACCAAGGACTGTATTTTATCCTGAAGTTTAGATAATAGAAACTTCTTGTTACGTATAATTTTTCTCCGGTCACACAACATCATCAAATAATCACACAATACCGATCCTGAAATATAATAATAATAATAATAATGTACATTTATAACTGAGCTCACTCCATCCATTTTGCATGCTCTAAACGCATGGAAGATAATAGCTAATCATGATAATAAGTAACAAACAAATGAGTTTTGAGTTTGGATATACAGACTTGAATCTCAAAAAGCAGATATAATGGATGCATATCTACAGAATGTCTCCAAAACACATTTGATTAAAAAGGTTTACTAAAACGAACTAAAGATAGCATAAATGAGGATGCCAGGGCAGTGGATTCACATAAAAACTGCTCTTTCTACTTGTTTTTTGATATTGGTGAATCTCGAAAAACGACTTGAATCTCAAAAATACAGATTTTAATCATGTATATCTACTAGGCCACCCAATCCCTCCTTCAGATGTTTTGATACTCGACCCCTTTTATATCGTATTTAGTGTGTATGCTCACCGTAATCATAGTAGTCGGATTCAGACTGCAATTTTGTTAATGTTTGTAGGATTGTTGTATGGAGAGACTGTAATTTGTTTAGTTGTTGTTCAAGTGGACTATGATCAGGTCGGATATTGGTTCGTTCTTGTTGAAGTGATATATGGGGACCACCTGCTACGGACCCGACCACCGAGGTGTCTGCTTGGAATGTTGCATGTCCAGAACAAGGTATATCCGATATAGGACCAGACCTCCATTTGTCTACTTCCTTTTTAAAATTTGCATAGCTATACTCGATGTACGTTACATCTTGATGAAATGGTGCAAGATCGGACTCGTCTTGATGATGCTTTTTATGGTCAGACAGTAATATGTCTAATTCTTGTTGAAATTTTTTTTTATTAGTTTGTAATGTAACACTAGCATGTGCAATTTTTTCGTTATCGTGTCGAAGTTGTCCATAGTCCGACTGCAATTTGTCGTAATCGATCTTCATTTGGTCCAGTTCTTTCTGTAAGCACCAGATGACCAGCTCCTGCTTCGATTCCAGCTCTTGGATTCTGTCTGCATACTTTTTGGATTCATGTTCTTTGTATTTCTCGATTTCACTAGCATGCAATGACGCTGACTTCAGGGCAGCGTTTTCGACTTCGAGATCATTTACTTTCGACTTCAATGTGTGGATTTCATTTTCAAGGTCATTTATTCTTTTGGACGTTCTCAATTCTCTTTCCTGTGCGATTTGTTCATCTTAAAGATATAAAATATTGACAATACAAATATAAACACTAGAACTACGGGGTGACACTTTTCGTCACGTAACATGTCATCAAATTATGTCATGTCAGGTCAAGTCATGTCCAGAAGCATATGGGTTGTTTCATGTTGCAGGGCAGGGGCATATAACCTGTTGTAATATGTATAAAAGTGTTACAGGCTTCGACAATAAAGACTAAAATAAACAAGCCAACAGTGAGGCTGGTGTCCACCGCCGAAATCCCAAAATAAATAGATGACATAATATTAATTAATCGCACATTTATTTTTTTCAAAAGTATCAAGCAATCAAACCGATTATCAACTATACACCAAGTTTCACCACTCTCTCTCGAATTATGTCGAATTCCAACTGCCAATGAACCTACACATTAGAAGATAACCTATCGGTATTGTCTATGTATTGTCTATCAGGAGGTAGGCCACAACGAGATAGCCAATGCTTCCTGTAAACTAACTCGGAGGTTAACTATGTGTACGTCCTTTGCATGTGAGATATCTCTGTCTATACAACATGTCTGGACAGCCTTGCCGAGATCATATCCTATGCGATACTTTATTACTTGTATCGGTGAAAACCTGTATAAAGACTACCTTGGACACAACTCCTCAAAGACACCAGGATTATCTTAATCGCACACCCGTCTCCTACCTACACAAGACGGGTCGCTCCTCTTGCAGGTTCCCAAGGAACGAATTATCGAATGAAACATCTCTCGGTATTTATAAATAATTACCTGTTATTCGATGGAAAGAAAATGCGTCAGGTTTAACTGAATCTGTACCAATAAAGCCACTCCCTATCACATCATTTAAACATCGGTGTAGTCCATCGTCATCAGTTGCACCCAAAGATATTAGATGAAATGTTACCTCAACACAACCCTTCCTGTACAGAAATGAAATGAATTGAAATGGGGTTTAACGTCCTACTGCCTTGCTGTACAAATACACATATTATAATAAACATTGCGGGTCTTTCTCCAAGTTATTAATTTGACATTAATTAACTTATCCAGAACATAATCGACTCTAGATGTCATCGCTAGCCTGGATTGAAACCCGATCTGCTGCACAACGCTCATTGATGATTAAATCAAAAAATGGATAACCGAGACTTAGTAATGATGATCGACGCTATGCCCAAAATTCAATCGCTAAATTCTCAGTTCAGAGTGGATCAATTTGACTGAAATCCCCTTTACATTATCTAGTTTTGTAACTATTATAGTGAGAACTTTCAGCTCTTTATCTAATCTCCCATAATTTATCTTTAAAGATGCGAGACGTTGTCTACCGGGTTTATTACCGATCATGATTATCAGTCATTGCCTTATTTGTTGTGCAGAAAATGGGGCGTGTTGAATCTAATGGACATAGGCAGAGACACCACGGATTTCACATGTGATAACTGATCCCAGTTCTACTTCCAAAATATTGATCTACCGAGAGGCTGCCAACCAATATCACCTTAGCCTTCAACACCAGAGCTTGAGGTCAAATCTATGACAGTAAGGATCAGGCCCCAAGTTCACAAAGCATTCTCAGACTTAGGTTGAGAATTTACTCAAACTTGTTCACTTTATTTTAACTGTAATATAGCCCTTTATAAAACTTTTGTTGTTTGATTGTATCAGATACATGTGTTTCTGGATGAAATATATTTGTCATAAACAGTGATTGAAAGTTGAGCAAATTCTCAACTTAAGTCTGAGAATACTTTGTGAACACGGGGCCTGATCAAAGCGATTTTAACTCACTCCAATTTCTTTACAACTACAAATTGTTGGCCTGGTTTGTCCTGGTAGACCTGTTCAATATTATTTTCACATCTTTTTACAAATTCTTTATATTTAGGACTGGTGTTGTCTACCAATTCATAAAACTTCTGTCCACTGTATTTGATCTTTCCTTTATAGATAACTACAATCAACACATACATCGGTTAATGTGAAATATCCACCTCTGGTCCAACTATATAAAAACAATAAATATATGCCCACAGTGCAGCCAAGTTGACCGAATTGTCCATACAAGTTGTCGCAAAAGTTTTTATATCTTGATATCATTAGAGCCATAACTCTAGAAATAATTATATCATTAGCGTCTAGAAATAATTAAAAGAAATTATTGTCATTAGATGTAACTGTTTCATCGCATAAAGTAAATGATGATGATGAGTTAGTTGTATTTTACGTCCGCTTCCACCGAGGTGATATCGCAGACAAAATAAAACAAAGCATATGCATTTATAGTAGATTATATGATATCAGTGGTTGTGTCAACGTACTTTATAACTTTCATCAAATTGAACGATCATTTAGGCGCTTAGAACCTATTGACTTCAGCTGGTTTTGACTCTGTATAAACTTGTTAAGGCACGAACTGGCTTTTATCTAATTAAACATGTAATTAATCTCATATGTCATTTACAAGCTCCACTTTACTTCAAAGGAATACGCACTGGTCAGTTTTCATACCAGTGGTCAGTATGATCATGGGTCTTATCTATTGTCGGAGGGTATTTAACCAGGAGTTTGCTGACAGACAGACGACTAGAGCCACGACTAGAGACGGGCGGGGAGGAGAAGAGAGGCTTGGGCGAGTGCATGGGCTCACCCGCTGCTGAGGGATGCTGGATTGTGTTTCTGTATAGTCTAGTTTCTGTATAGTTTATGTTCCTGTATTGTTGTTGTATTTATGTATATGTTTGATATTCTGTTCCCGTTGTAAATAAACGCTATATGTAAGAAACTGATATTCTGTTATCACTAAAATAGTGTTACATGGTTTTGAAAGCGTTCAATAAAATACGTACCACAGTCAGGCTCTAGTTTCTTGATAACCCATGTATAGTTACATCTTTCTAGGGCCACCAGAAATTGGATATATGCATTTGGTCCTTTTCTACTTAAAATCATCAACATATTCATTACACATTTGTATCTGCCTGCTCTTTCTAATATGTTGAATAGTAATTCATAATCATCGATGTCGTAAACAAACTGGGAATAAAGGATATTTATAAGTTCTATAGCATCTAGTTCATTTACAAGATAATACGTGTGTCTTTGCAATTTCCATCTATCCGCTTCAGGTATCAATCCTCTTTGATGGTCAACGGGTATAATCTCTTCTATAGTTTCTTCTTCCGCTTTATCTCTTGTTTTGACTGCAAATATAGCATTTTAAAAATACTGATATGTCGACAACAAAACCGAGAGGCAATTCGAACAATCCTGCAAGTAATTGATGCACAGGTTTTCGTATAGTCAAATATTAGCAGCCAGGATATAACCACAAGGAGATTACACGATGTCCCTGTACTGCCAGATAATAACACTACAGGTACTCTATGCAGGACTGAGATTTATCCCTAGGCAATGTGTCAATTGCATGGGTTACATCTGATGTGTTAGGAGCAGAACAGTAGGACGTTAAACACAATTTCATTTCATTTACATCTGATGTGTGATTCTCGCCCGTAAACATATTCCAAGGTTCGGACGGTGCGGTGAATACTGAGAATAAATAATAGCGATTTGGATAAGTTTCGTGTCGACGAGTAGGCATAAGTCGAGAAAGTTTGAATCAAATACACAATTATCTAAATCCCTCAAAGTTGCAATTGGAAAAAAACTCCTACCAAAATTATCAATCCGCCAAATCCCACCTTTAAGCGATTAATAAATTGAGATTCATGTTATAGTGTTTAATTTTCATTATTTCTGAAGCCCGAAGCGTATTGATTCAAATAAACTAAACACAGATTTGTATAGCTTATCAATAGGACTATCCACAACTTCACAAACAGACACACGATACAGACAGCCTTTGTTGTGAAAGGTTCGTCTACAGTTCGCAAGTGATGAAAATGGAATGAAATGAAATGAAATGGGGTTTAACGTCCTACTGTTCTGCTCCGAACTGGGACATTTTGTCCGGACAGCGACACTACGGCCTACTCTTATACCGACTTCTAACTGTTATGGAATCTTTTACGTGCACGCCAATGTGCACACGGGACCTCGGTTTTTCGTCCCATCCGAACGACTAGACAGCTGTCCTTGCCAGACTCTCCGTCATGCATCACTGTCATGTGGGAACCACGCCAGAAAATCTGGATGAACTTTCTCGGTCAATGCAGGGATCGAACACCCGACAAATATAAATTTGTTCTTTCTCCTAAATAATTCAATGAGAATTAAAAACTAATGCTGTATTAAACAAAACGCTCAGCTTTAATGCGCACCAAAATCGGCCAAATTCAAGATCTTTTGATCCTTAACATATTTGTGAAGTTTCATCTGAATCAGACAAAAATAAACAAGGGTAATGCGACTTGATGATCTGGTTTCTTGCAATCGTATTTTTGATTCTGCTTCCGGAATATTAACAACGAACTGACGAAATGCTATTTGCTGATAATACGAGACGGAATCTATTGAAAATGTGCATCATTAGTCCCGAAATGACTTCATTTGTGTCGAGTGGACACTACCCCCCCCCCCTCTCTCTCTCTCTGTTTTGTTATCAGTACAGTGGTACGACAAGCAGAAGCAAATCAATTTCTGCATGCGTTTATTTGAATCAATGTAACCCCGGCTTTACCTGCTTTAGAAGTCGGTTTCAGTTGTATAGACAATTGGGCTAGTGCTTCCTTCATCTGTTTATTTTCCCCCTCTAATTGTCTTATTTTTTGTGTTTCTAGTCCCTCTGCGTCATCTTTTCCCAAACCCGAATTACCATAATTGTGCTCTACATATGTCGGACAGTTTTTGATGGTATCTTTTTTCGGTCTAATCTCCTGTTCAAGATGTCTTGATTCGGTTGAAGCCATTCGAGATAACTTCTGGTAATCCATTTGTGTGACAATAAATTTACATAGGTTTCTCTAAAATGAGATAAACATATATTAGCGGTTTACCAAAATAGTTATTCACTTGATCAGCTATCAACGTGAGTAAATGTATATATCACTATCAAGTTGTGTATACACAAGGTCAGAATTGTAAACAAACCTAAAAATGTTTCATGGTGGGTGGGGAATATGTTTATATAGTATTAGTAGGGCGTAGTGTCCAAACGTAATCTGCAATACTTCATGCGATCATAATATTGTTAGAGGTCCAGTATAATGTAGGCTATATATCTTTAATTTTCTAAACTTCAAATCAAATTATACAGGATATATAATATAATCGCTAGAAATGTTCTTATTTGGCCAAATGGGTCAACTGTTTGAGCAGTAAATGGGAAACTGTCTAAAATGAGTCAGATCATTTTGCCAACAATGTTTGTGAAGGCCAATTTCAGACCATTTTGGCCGCCATCTTGGAAGTTCGGCTCTCCTGGAGTTATCCGGCAGATTTCAGAGATAGCAAACTATAAATATCTTCACTAGGGTCCATTCGATCAGAATCCATTGTCAAACCTTCTTCCCCTAGAAATGGTCACGGATCTTCTGTGCGTTGTAACGCGACCAAACCTCTGAACGAGCAACTGTAAAACTATAGGGCCTAAATACTGATGAGGTTATTTAAATTCTCTGGTTAATGTATTGAAGTCGTTAGACAGTACCAGTGACAACACGAACTAGGCTAACAAGGATATGTCTGGTAGTTTAAATGACATCTTAGTCTGGTAATCCAAATATGGCAACCCCGTGCGTTAGAAACGTGTTTAAGCGCCAACAGCGCCCATATAATTACACTGTTGAAATTCAGGGTAGTGTTACGGTCCAGGTGATTCCAGTCCTTCGCTCGTCAAATCACGAGACCGGCTCCCTTGTAGAGTTCACGCCCAAAACACGTTAAAATAACGATGTCATACATTACTATGAATCACAATATAATGCCCGGGTATCAACCTTGTCCTTTTCACATAATTATATTTAGTACATTCCTGTTAGGCCAATGAATTGACGCAAACCAGTCAGCGAAAAAAGCGATATCAAACAGTCGGCGGCCATGACACTTTGGCGCGGTAAAGGCTATAACTTCGTCATAGATAGTAACGGTTGTGTTCTTTGGTTGAGGTGATATTGTCTGCGATATCACCGCGGTGGAAGCGGACGTAAAATACAACTAACAACAATTCATTGGTCGACAACTGACGTCATCGGAATCCCCTTATAAATAGAAGCAGACGACGAGGAAATCCTCAGTGTCAATCAGTTCACTCATTAAAGCTCCTACCAAAACCGGCAGCTATTCGGATTTTTGGGATCCTTGCTTTGGCTGTGGGAATTTACCCATAATATTGGTCTCCTATTTAAAGGCTCAACACCACTCTTGTTGTAACTGAATAATATGTACCAATCTTTATTCTGGTCAACAAATTGTACTATTTTAGAATATTTCAATTAATTGATGATACAAATTTCATCTTAACACACCTTATTTAAAAATTTTGAAAAATTCAACATAATGGTTTGAAATGTCTAACGTAAACCTTTTCAAATGAAACTTCGATTTAAAAATATAGGATGTAATGGATAATTTACACAACAGGTAGGACACTTAAACATCTAGTACTTAGATAGAGATATTATTTATTTTACTGGAGCTTTCAAGCCAGCAAGAGTGTTATTGTCCCATTAAAGATGGGTTCCCGCGTACAAAGTGGGTGATTTAATGGTATATATGGACCAAAAACATATTCAAACTAATTAATTTGTCATAATTATGCTTCAAATCCTTCTCAAACATTGTAATTGCGAAGGAATGCCCTGCTATTAAAATTCGATCAAACCAGGTCATGTATACGTCACGTCTTGGGAGTCAGAGAATTCATTGAATACATAAGACGATGTTATCTTTAATCGCTTACTATTTATTACAAATATCGAATCCTAATTAAATTCCCGGATTATCCACTATCCGCGTCTTTTTCCGTCATTTTTATCTCAGAAAGTGTTGTACGTCTAACTCTTCATAAAGTTTATCAACTTGTACATTAAGCGCCCAATGTTAGCGTGTGGCCTTTGACATCACGCGTGCAGAAGTTCCTAATCGTCGGGCTGTTGATTAGGGGAACCCTTACATTTTTGTCCTGTATACGCCCCATGAGTGTTTTTCTGGGAATCCAGTATTTTTCTATAATAGCAAGATTGGATATCTCTACTTTCCATATATACCAAAATTGCCATACTTTTATTGGAAATAACCACCCGATAAATACTTTTCTGGGAACCCATCTTTAAAGGCTCATAGGTTTGGTTGAACCTTGATTGGTTTAATCCGAGTTAGGCCTAGATTAGTTGTGGGTCGCCCATTTCCCCAATTCTCACCAATTCCTTATGTCACCAAATTTCTAATCTATTTCCATCATATCCACAGGTCTGACAGGGCAAATGTATTTATTTACCTAATTCCTATTTCCATACCCGGAAACTTATACACAGGGTTGGTGTCTCACCCAAATTATCTCCCCTTAATGCGATGTATAAATTATAAATTGATCCAAATAAAGATGCTTATTTTTGTCTACACCCGAGTTTGTTAGTTCTTCCGATTGAAGTGCTAGGCTGGAACGAACCCCTAAAAAGTCTCTAATAAATAGTTGAGACGCAACAGTAGATTCTATGCAGTTCCAATCAGATAAAGGAAGTACCTGTTCCATTGCCCGGGGGTCAGTCCATGACTCATGCACGTATCCTCTTTATACGAACGAGAGCGGTTAAGTTACTTTAGACAACCAGACATATTTTAAGAGGAGAATGCAATCTGTTTCACAGAGATCTTTTAATATCTCTGTTACAGATGACTGTTTTGACACGTGACGTCATATCACGCGGCGTCAATCATTGGCTCAATAGCACGTGCATTGTTTACATAAGGCATTACTGATTCGGGCTAAATGGTGAATTTTACTTATTTTAATACCCATTTACACTAAATAGGAAATGATTTTTACCTACAAACAATTCAAAC